TAATTCCTTAGGCCCACAGGTTTCTTCTGAAGCTCAAGTCAAAACCAAAACTCAAGAGTCCAGCCCACAAAACTCTTCTCTATGTTTGCATAAAGCTTGCACACAAGGTGGGGGCTATCTCTTGGGACATTTTATTTACATACATGTACTTATATATCACACTTACTGCCTGTTCACTTCCATTTCAGATGGCCAGACTGAAATAACTTCATTAATTAGTATTAATGATTTTCCTGACCCAGATTTTTTAAAGTCAAGATTTACAGTAAATATTAAACAGGGAGGATATAACTGGCTAACTTCTAACATTCTCCTTGTTCTTCTCATCCCATTTTTAGACTGCAGTTCCTCTTCCTTTCACTCCCCTCCCATTATTACTTAGTTCACGCTATATCAGCCTCCACACCATTATCTAATATACCCATTAGACACATGTACATTTTTCATATATATATATATTAGATAATGCAATATCTTTTACATCTAATATATTGAAAAGGTAAAAATACACCATTTAAAATAGTCAGGCCAGTCAAAACTTTCTGAAGTCTTTCATTTCCACTTCTCAATTTCCTCCCAGTACTGTTTCTGAGCTCTTTAGGGAACTGCCAGTGACTAGTTCTGCATCACACACTGCTAATGAAATGAGTGTTATAGATCAAACCTCTGGGCATCACTACCCTGCATGGTTTAATTTTGACTCTGGAGTCTGTGGGAGCACTTAAGCATCAGCAGCCTATTTCCAGGGCAGCCACAGACCAAACTTGCAGACCAGGCACTGACTAAACCCAAACTGAAGGACAGCAGAAAACATCCAAGGATTATTATGCCATACAGCAGAGAACCTCCTTCATTTTAAGTAATTAATTGGTCAGTACCAGTGCTAGAAACAGCTGATTTTTAACAACAGTTGAACAGTAGTGATGCTTTCACAGCTCACACACACTCATCCCCTACTTGTTGGTTGCCATCAATTAAAATAAGGCATAGCTGGTTTTAGCTTCCACAGGATTTGCTGCTCTTAGTATGGCAAAAAATTGTGTCATGATTTGTGTCTGCAGTGGCAGATATTATTTACAGACAGAAGTGGTACATAAGTGAAGAGACCAAGGACATTTTCTGTGCTCTTGTCACCACCCACTGAAGCTAGAGCAGAAGGACAAGGGACAGGTAATCTCAGCCCACCACACCTGCACTCTTGCATGAGAGCAAGCTCAACCTCAACTTTCTTCAAAGGTCCTACAGGTTTGGTTTTGGAGGGGGATTGCAAAGTGGGAAGGAACGGCCTGATTTAGATTTTGGGCTTTTTTTTGTTTGGGTTTTTTATGAGTCAACAAAAGTCTGAAATTTGAATATATCCCAGAGAAGCCTGATTAAAATACTGTAACAAGCAAGACAAACATACTGGAAATACACCAATCATCATAAATTGCATCATGCTTTGTTAAGGCACTTGTACCGAAATTATTTTGGTGTCTTTCTTTTTTTTTTGTTCTTTCATTATTAATATTCTTCAGTATTACAGTTCTTTCCAGGAAACTTCAGAAAAAATACCTCAGTTTTACAGCAACACGTGTATCAAAACCTTTACCACTGGAACCCCGTCATACAGCAACATAGTCGGAAATCACCAAACATAAATTTGAACAACATTACAAGGCTATATTGAGTTTTTATTTCTTAATCCAAGACAAACTGGGCAACATTTGGCCTCCAAATTTCTGGTCATACCAACACCATATTTAAAGACTCAGGTCAAAGTTGAGGAAAGGACAAAAAACGGAAAGAAGGCTTCCTGCAAGTCTTCATTTCGGGAGATAAATTTAAGATTGAGGAAGCTTTTGAGGAAGAACCTATTGTACTATTTCCATTCCAACCTGCCTGTGTTTGGCCAGGAAAGCACAAATGTTTCTGCAGCCACTGTTATAAAAAGCATTTCAGCCTACTATGACTTGCAAAACTAACAGCAACTCAGCTGCTAGGGAGCATGATGGAAATAAAAAAGGATGTTGAATATTTAAGTGACGCTGCAAATTTCTTGTTCTTCTATTAAAACCTCAAGGTTACCAAACCCCATTATCATTCAGCTTGGTCTAGGAACTGTCTTCCTCTCTGAAGAGTCACAAGACAGTTTTCTCCAGCTATCACACACTACAGCAGGAATTAACCTAGAAATTAGTAAACCCTCAAAGCAAAATCCTGCAGATTAAAAACTGACAGACTGGCTTCTGGCAGTGGTGGTGCCCACAATTCTCTAAGAGTCACACAGAACAGCTGTATTAGTTACAACCTCACTCCCCTTAGGGACCAGTTGGCTTTACTCTCTCCCTTTCTACTTTCCCTTTCAAGCACATATTTGAAATAGAAGCAGGTTATTGACATTGTTTCTAAGGCTTGACCTGCATCAGCTGCGTGCACCTGAGCCCTATAGTGTGTGCCAGGCTATGTCAATATTTGTGCTTTTTCTAACTAATAATTAACTCTGGCTATATTAACTAGATAACTGCTAATATTGCCATTAACACATATAGTAATTCCATTAAGCACCATACTGGGGTTATGTCATATAGAACAAGCTAAAACACAAACCTACAACCATACAGCTACAAAAAATATGAATACTCAGAAGTATGAAAACCTCAATAAAATATTTTTAAATAAGTCCCTGTTTAAAGAAAATAATCCTGGTGCTTTTTGTCTTACTGCTTGCAGAAGCAGATCTTATATTTTGTGCTGTTTTCTAATAAATTCACTTTTTAGAAGAGGCCATTGGGTAAAGCCTGTTCCAAAGGAGCAGAAGCCACTCAAACTTGAGGAAAGTACTCGTCCAGCTGGAGCCAAACATTTCCACAAGTAAAACATGTACATCACAGAAGCTCTTAAGGCTGTAGAGAAGCTTGATCTTTTTTGTTCTGTCTTTAAGGCTCCATACAACTTTCCCCTTCCTCAAGATAACCACAGACACTCTAATGCTCTATTTTTGATAATTAAACTATTTCAATGCCAAGTCACGATATCCCCTAAAAAACAGCTCCCTTTACTAGAGCTCCACTTTAATGCTCACTTTAAATAAGTTTACAGACTCCTCAACACTCTAAAAGCTAGCTGAAATTTCTTCAGCACTCTAAATATATGATTTTTTTTAACAGGATGAAAAAAGTAAGAGACTCTTACAAAATAAGATTTGCATGCTAGACACACAAACCAGAAATAATCCATTTACTCCCCCTCAACCTTTCTTGGCTGGACTAACTCAATTAGTATCCCTAACCACCAGACACTTGCCAAGATAACCTATTTGTGTTTAATCATTCAAAAAGTGAAATAATATGTACTGTAATGTAACACTTTTTACGGAAACCTCCAGTTGAGCAACAGTTCCAGCAAAAATTGTGAAATGAAGTAAAAAGCAACCCAGAACACCATACTTCCACTCAGTTAATTCAAAAAAATTAAGTTTCACAACTAGGCAGAAAGTCAAGACCTCATTTTTAGCAAAGTAGAATCGGCACATTTTTAAACGCAGCCTGTTTGGAATAACTTCGGAGTAACAACCATCATTGCGAAGTTATTGAATACCATCATCCCCCGGCCAGCAACTTGTGCCACACGCAGACCTCATGACAGAACGACGATAAAAATGCCAGGGCTAATTTCTACAGCCGCGTCCAGAGCGTTGCATCAATCCAGGTATAGGGTAACCCGGGCTGCCGAAGGGAAAGTCGGGACAGAAACACGCACCGTGGGGCTGAGCACCGCCGGGCAATTCCGGCTGGCGCAGCGGTGCTGCGCGGAAAATCCGCACATGGCTCTGGGGGA